TCCCTGCGGCCTGGAGGAAGGCTGGCCTGTCTGCACCTCTCTTCCACACTGCACACCCCAAAAATTCAAGCCAGGCATGTCCACAGGTAGACCTGGGAAGAAGCAGGGAGAGCAAAGCCCAGATCTCCAACAGGCCTGGGGACACGCTCGGCCCCAGGACAGGCCTGGGGATGGCCCTGAGGATGCTGGGACCCAAGACTGACCGAAATCCAGCCGGCTGGAGGAGACAGGGCGCAGAGGAGTGGCTGGCAGAAGGGCCGGTGGGAGGATGGTCAGCAGGGGGCTCCATGGGAAGGCGGAGAGCCACCAACCTCGGCACCACACGTGGCCAGCCAGCACAGCAGCAGTCCGACCCAGCCTGTCCCGGAGCAGAGGGAACCTAGGGCCTTGCAGTGACGGTGTCAGTGCCGGCCCTGCAGTCCAGCTCCTCCTCGGCTCCCACGGAGCCTGCGCTTCCCTCGTGGACACGGCGGGGGTGGCCAGTGCACGCTGGGTGTGGGTGGGCTCGGGGGCCCAGTGGAGGGCAAAGCAGACCCGCAAAGGGCCCAGAGCACTGTCCCTAGTGGTTTCACTGCCACAGACACAGTAAACGCCGCAGGCAGCCACGAGGACACACGTCTGTCCATCCGTCTGTCCAGCCCCTCGGCAGGGCAGGCCCTCCATGGAGGATCCTCCCAGGAAGGCCCCACAAAGCTGGTGCTGCCACAAACGGGAAAGCCGGCACCGGGCCTATCCTGACGCATGTGTGAGGGATCAAGCTGTCTGTACCCTGGAAACGTCATCCACACGGCCGTGGGCCGGGCTTGGGAACCACGAACACAGCTCTTAGCATTTAGAAAAGTTACGGATGCTTGTGGAGCAGCACGCTATGCAGCACCCACCCTGACACACCTTCACGCGTCTTCACGCGTCATCACGGGTCATCACGCGTCTTCACGTGTCATCACGCTAGGCTCTCTCGAGGGCACTGCGGGGTGGGTGCGGCCGAGGGTCCGAGCCAGCACTGATGGCTCCCTGCGGCCCACACAGCTCCGGGCAGACATCCACAGAGCACACAGGGCCGGGACCCCACAGGCGATCCTCAGAGGAGATGCAGCGGCTGCAGTGCCACATGGCCCAGGCAGTGCGGGGCACGCCATGATGCCACGCACGCGCCTCCCTCGGCTGCTCCGCACGTACTCCCACCGCGACCAGGCACAGGGCGCGAGGCCTGGAGCGGGCAGTGACTACAGCCTCCCGGGATGATCCTCTCTCTGACAGAGGAAGAAGGGCTGCAGCCAGATTGTGTGTGATGCCAGACAGTCCTGAGTCCACAACTAGGTAAAAGCAACACGCGGTTGTTTTACTTCAAAATGCAGATGCAAACACCTGAGCTAAGGCGTTAGCTAACCAGAACTCAACAGCCAAAAATGAAGTGCACCCCTGGAATGACCCCTGGCATGCAGATGGCTCGATGGGGAACCCTATCACAAAACCCGCCACAGTCACCGACAGAGCCACAATCGTCTCAACTGACGCGGAAAAAGCATTTCACAAAGTTCAACACCGACTTACAATGAGATTCTCAAGAAGTCAGGACTAGAAAACAGCTTTTCTAACTTGATAAAGGCTTTTCACAGCAAACTGGTTCAGCACATAGAGAAAATAAGCTGATCCCTACCTCACTCCATCTACCAAGGGGACCCCGCCCGGGTGAGTACAGACCACCGTGTGGAAGACTAAACCACAGAGCCAACAGAAGAAAATGCCAGGAAATATCTTTGTGACCTTGGGGTGACCAAGGTTTTTTAAAACCACAAAGCACAAACTGGAGGAACAGAATTGTGGTGTCTGACCACCCAGCACCAAGGACCTCTGCTTGGTGAGGACGCGTCACCAAGGTCACAAAGGTTTACACTGAGGAGGCTGTAACGGCCAGAATGCACAAGGTGGTCTCACGAGTTAACAAAACGCAGACTGGGCAGAGGAAACACGAGTGCATAACTGGGGGACAGCCCAGCTCGAGCGGCTGACAAATCTATCGAGACATGCTCAATCTCATTAGCAACTCGAAAAACGCAAACGTAATCTGTAACCAGAAGAGTATCACCTCACACACGTACGCAGGCACAAGTGAAAACTCGGATAACAGCGAGTGCAGGCGAAGGTGTGGGGGCACAGCCAGGCTGTGTGGGGGCCGCACAGTGCAAAAATCACACCCAGTGGTCTAACAAGCCCCCCAACACACACCACAGCCTGGGGCAGGGGGACACCTCGGCGTGCTCCCGACAGTGCTGAGTGGGGTAGCGGGAGCCCCAGTAGCCAGAGGCCCCCCACTGGGGAAAGGAACACATGCCGTGGAGGCTCCCACTCTAGAGAGCTGTGCGTGAAGAAAACGTGGCAAGCCAGAGGAACGGATGGCACACGGATGGCACATGGACGGGTCTCACGATCACTGTGACGAACAGGAGAAAAGCGGGAGGGGCACTACATACATCACTTACGGAAACCCGAGACCCATTAAAAAAACCCATAAAAACCCAGGGCCACAGACTGCCCTCAACCCGAACCTCACCTGAGCCCCTGACCACCTCTGCGCTGCTCCTGGCAACACTACCCTCAGACCTACCCCTTCCCTGGAATCCGACCTCATGGGGGTCAACACGGCCCACGCCAGCAGCTGAGAGCCGTGTGGACGGCAGTCCCAGGTGCATGGTGAGGGCCCATGCCGGCAGCTGAGAGCCACATGGACGGCAGTCCCGCCCGCACGGTGAGGGCCCACGCCGGCAGCTGAGAGCCGTGCGGACAGCAATCCTGGCCGCACGGTGAGGGCCCACCACAGACCTCCCAACAGTGTCTCAGGGCACCTCCTCAGGCACCCGCTAGAGGCTCTCCACCATGTGAAGCAGTAGCTCTTGAGAGGATTTTCTTCACCACAGACTAATATTTCAAGTGTGTGCTGAGTGGAAGTGCAAACAAGTCAGAGCGGAGCTGAGGCGAGAGGGCAGGACCAGACCACGCGGCTGAGGGATGGGCCAAGCTACGGCCCTCGCTGGAGTCCCTGACACGGGGCAGAAGGCTCACTTCAACCGTCTGTTTCTTCAGACACCAGGCTCAGGGTGCCAGGCTGCTGCACCAGCTCACCTCAAACACGCACTTCCCAGGGACATGCTCCCCGGCGCGCACAGAAAGCAGAGCCCTGTTCAGTGGGTGTCTGGAGGACCCGCAGCCCTCTACAGCACCAGGCCCAAGGAGGGCCAGGGGACAGGGATGTTCTAGGACATTCTGGAGAAGTCCGTAAGGACGACTTCATTCACGACAGAGAGACGAGGCTCTGTGGGCATCTCTGAAGGGGCCATCATACGAGGCGCCCCTAGGAACGTGGCATGTGCCAAGGCCGCCCAGGCCACACCGCAGCTTCCCCAGAGGCCAACGGAAACTCTACTGTGTGACTCACTGAAACCCAACTGGAAACGTCCCAGAGACGCCCCAGGCAGAAAATTCTGCATCACCCCGCAGGGCAGCGTGGCCCACAGGCCCCCGGGGCCCAGCCTTGTCTCCCCTCGAGAGCTCCAGGCCCACGGAGAACAGGAGATGACCCTCAGGAGCTGGCAGCCACAGCCAGCCATCCGAGAGTGCAAATCACAGCAGGGGAGACGCCAGGGGAGGGGGGATACAGGTAGGGGGAGGGGAGATGTA